CACCTCTCCAAGACCAGAAGGTCAGTCTACATTTGTTTAATTCTAAACTTGACAGTAGAGGTTCTAGCAATAATTGTGCATGCTAAAATGGAGACAGTGGCATATTTTGTGATTCAAGTTGGGCAGTAGTTGACACAAAATTATGGATAAGATGTGTTTAGGGTGACTTTAGATCATCACTTTAACAATTGTACTTGTGCCCCTCGGTGGTTTAAATCTCACTTTAATCATAGCGTCTAGAGCCATCAATCATCATGCCAGTTGCATTCTCTAAATTCTATTGATGTTCCAAGACTTGATTAGTTTAACAGAATTCATTTTGCTACATCTATGTGCAGCCAGTTGAAATTTGGGAGATGATACGAATGATTGCCACTGCCCGTATAGTCATGCCAAAAGCAATGGTCAGATTGTCAGCTGGCAGAGTAAAGTTTTCAATGCCAGAGCAGGCATTGTGCTTTCTTGCTGGTGCAAATTCGATATTCACTGGTGAGAAGCTGTTGACCACTCCAAACAACGATTTTGATGCTGATCAACTCATGTTCAAGGTGCTTGGTCTGATTCCCAAAGCTCCCAGTTTCTCTGAGGAACCAGCAAAGGCATACGAGGCGGAGGCTTGTGAGGAAGCTGTTTCCAGTTCAGGCTGAAATTGTTATACAAGAGAGTGTTGGTCTGTAGTTTCTTACATTTTTTAAGCTGTAATTTTAGTGTTAGTTTGTAGCTGAAAGAATTGCACTCAAAGTAAAATTCAGTTAGAAAATAAAAGCGAAATTTAGTAAGTCGATGATTGGATGATAACTCTATAAGCCCCATTAGAGAACTCACCATATTCACTGGTATGAGACCCAACATCACACATACACACACAAAGACAAACGCAGACGAAAATATGCGATGTTCTCTTTTGTTGATCAAGTCCTAGGCATTTGTAATTTCTTAGATTACAAATGAACCTGTAGAGAAGCAGCGCGGCAGGAGGCTTCTGCTGTGACCAATGCTGAAGCCCCACGTGGCGAAAACCCGAACAGCAGACTGGTTTTTGCTATGGTTTTGATAAAAATAAAATTTTATCCATTCTGAAAATACCAACGGCTCCCATGGGGGTTTGTTTTTTCGGGTCAAACGGCTTCCATGAGATGTTTACGTACAAAAGAGTTGGAAGAGGTTTTTGACTTCCTCTGCATTTACTAACACTAAAGTGAAAACCAAAGAGTAAAAACTAAAAACAATCCCTAACTTCCATTCTCAAGTTTTTATTTCATACATTCTTCCTTCATTCTCTCATATTACTATGCTTGTCAAGCAACTTCAAAAGATATGGAACCACTTATAAAGTTGTTTACAGGTCATTTGTTAGTATGTATTAAAATCCAGGACAAAACTGCTTTTAAATACATCAAAATCAGTTCCAGAATATCTCAAACAGATATCCTAAGAGCTTAACTAAGCACTATCAATCTTAAGAGACCACC